TGACAGGAACATGTGATTGAAGGAGGAGAAGAAAGAGATGGACCTGGAGAAGGTTAGAGTATAAAAGAAGAGACAGGAGACAAAGCATGTCTTTGACATACCCTCTTCACTAGCTTCAGGATCCTGAATGCCACCTTTGCCTACTGTTTTCAATACTTGGGAATGCCCACAAACATGGTGTGGATGTTGCTCCTTCTGCAGGAAAGGTGGTGGTGTGCCATTGCAGTGATAACTCCCTCAGCTCATTTGAGTGGTTAGTTGTGGGGGTTTTATTTATGGGCCATGTGTATGTGTGTATGGGCCATGTGATGGCATGGCTGTTTCTTTGGCTGACTTTCATTAAAAGTGAGAAAATGACCAAGAAACCCATCATAAGAACTCTGCTAGGGCACTAATACAAATATTTAAAAGCTGAGAAATTTCAGAATTCAGATTTGAGATGAAGCTGTAATTTGCTTAAAATGTATGTGGAGGTGGTTTTTCCCTAAATTCAGAATGTTTTCCAGTGGAGTAGTGTCAGTTGGATTAGAGTGTATTCAGGCCTGCTTCCTCTGGGCTTTCCTCTGTTACCTACAGTCTATGGGCCACCCTGAGTAGAGTGTGAGTGCTGGTGGGCTGTGGAGAGCTGACTGATAGTAGTATTTTGGTTACATGATAGTGTTTCTTCTTTAATTATGTTATCTCATGGCATCTGCCTCTTTCAGTATTCTATTTCAAATTTATTCTTGAGTGGAATCAAATCTGGGAAATTACTTTTCTATAGGGCTTATTTGTAGCAGAAATTGGAAGGTTAACAGAGATTGAGAAAGAGAAATAAGATTTTTCTTCATGAAGGCATTTGAGTCATACAGTGGTTGAGGCACCTCTGGAGGTCATTCTGTCTAAACTCCCAGCTCAAGCAGGGTTGCTTAGAGCAGGTTCCCTGGGACCGTGTCCAGTTGTGGTGTTGAAGGATGGTAACTCCACAGCCCCTCAGGGCAACCTATGCCAGTGCTGGGCAGAAAGCTGTGGTACAAGCTGTGTGTTGGCTTGCAGCTGTCTTGCACAGCTCTTATGCTTTTCCAGCTCATCCTGTCAATAAAAGCAAAAATCCCTATCAATTTATTAATTTATGGTTTTTTATATCTGTAGCAATTGAGCACTTGACAGGTATGAGCTCAGGTAAAGGAGTGAGTGAGGAGAGGGCAAATGAGACTACTCAAACTATTAGTTGAGGTATTCAAACTTGAATTTCAGTATATATGTACAAGGTGACCAAGCTGGCATTGGACAGTCAGTTATAACTTAAGGTGTGCTGTATTTGGCAGCTTTTGTATTGTTGATAGTTTTGTATGTAATTTTATACAGTTGAATATAGTATGCTAAACAGATTTTTACGAAAGGATTAAGTTGCTTCTCCTAGGAGGCACAGAGGTTATGGGATAGGTCTGATGTTTACCCTGGTGCAGCTTTTAGAAATCAGAAAAATAATGTTCTTGTTTCTCTTGTGAATATAATGGATATTTCCTGGTTGATGTATAGGTTGAGGATATATTCTAGTGCGTTCACCAGGAGACAGCCTGGTTGAGAGAGTTCTCTTTCTTCCCTTGTTCCCCCTCCTTCCCTACTTCCTGTCCTCCCTTCTCAGGACAACATTTAAGCAGAATTAAAAGCTTTGCACAGGAATGCTTGAAATGCTTGGGAGTTAGACTGTGTGAGAACCCATTTTACACTTCTGGCAGATTTTCTGGAAAGCGTAGCCCTGTGTTTCTTGAAGCTGTGACGTGCTTTGGACCAGCAACACAGAATGTAAGCTTATACCATCTCTTGGGAACATGACTTATTAAGATAGAAGGGCTACAGACTGGGATTCTCTTGTGCTTTGGAAAGAGAGTATGCTGAGGGGTCACATCCCACCCTCCCACATTTGAAAAATACAGTAACCAAATTGGGAGGGGAATTTGGTAATGCCATAGTACAGTATAGGTGAGATAAAAAAAAAGCAAACTACAGGAGGAAACATGTTTAAGGAAGAACATTATATTACGGAGTTTAATAATGAAAAGAATAATTCACTTCCAGTCATTTTAAATTAGACATATAAAAAATAAACCTGTGATCAAGTAATTTATTTTTTGGTTACCTTTTACAATTTAGTATCTTTATCAGAACCACCAGCTAAATGTGATATTTTTCTTTAAGTGTTGATTTACAAGTATTTGATAAATTTGGATTTAATTTTCAATTGCTTTTTACAAATTAGTGCCCCAGGTAAACATAGTTTTTATTTAACAAAAAAAGTTGCTAAGTAATTGAAAAATTTGAACGAGTTAGTTAGAATGAAAAGGCAGCTGGTTCATTTGTTTCCTTTTCCTTTTGTTCCTTAGATCTGAATATGTGAAAATAAATATGTATCTATATATTTGAGTGCATGTATGTATACAGATTGCATATATGTTACAGGTGTGTGCTAAAGCTTTTATGATCAATATGGTGATCACAGTGGTGCTTACTGCTCAGGTAAAATTCTAGAACAAAACCAGATTTATTTGTTAGCATTGGAATTTAAATGAGTGGGTTTTTTCACTTTGTGGATGGATCTTCGTTTTCAGATATTCACAGATAGGTTGAATGCTTTGTGATTCAAGGATTCTGATTAGGCTGATCAACTTGGGTCTTATAAAATGTGAGGATATCCTAGTATGATTGTGGATGAATTTGCTCTCCTGCTTGACAATATTATCCCTGGCTTATCTTTTCCATCAGCATCTGCAATGCATTTTCACTATGATAAATGAAGTAATGGACTACCTAAGGGTAATGCTGAGGAAGATTGATTGCCAAAATACCAGTAGAAGCCTCAGGCTAAAACTAAACCTATTAGAAATGCAGTGTGTCTTATTAGAGCCATAAAGGAAGTATTTAAAGTGACTACAATGTGGAACAAATGTCCTTTAACAGATTACTTTTGGGTGATGGATGTTATTGTTAATCTAGGCTGTTTCAATATGGTATTGTATTTTTGTTTTATCCCTTTAGATTTTCCATGTAGGCAGTTTTTATACTTGTGTATGTGAGATAGACATACAGTTTTCCAAAAAACAAAGATGAGGTTTTTACGTGATGTTTGCAGATGTGGTTTTCAGAATACTGGGATTGCAGCACTTCTGACTGTGTATGTTCTTGGATTCATTTCTGATTTTGAAGAACTCTTCTAATGTTAGGGAGCTGTAGCCTTATATTATTTATTCTATTGTAGTTTAGAATTCTCTTATTTAGTCAGTTAGCACTGGAGCAGTTGCCCAGAGAAGTTGTGGATGCCCCATCCCTGGAGGTGTTTAAGGCCAGGTTGGGTGGGGCTTTGAGCAACCTGGATTAGAGGAAAGCGCCCCTGCCCATGGCAGGGGTTTGGAACTAAATGATCCTTAAGGTCCCTTCCAACCAAACCATTCTATGATTCTATGATCTCTGTCTTGAGTCAGTTGATGTAGGTTTCGTTTTAAATCGGAGTTGAGGATTTTTTGCATTTCACGTAACATGATGTGCATTTTTGTTCTTTAACTTTATTTGAACCTTCTCTCAATCTGAACTCTTTGGTGGTTGCTTTGCTCATTCCCTGCTTGCTGGCCTGGAGGAAATTCCATTTAAAGCTATTTATGAAGTTATGTACTTTTTTCTTTTTTTTTTTGCACTCACCTTGAGTCCTGTGTGCGGTTTTGGGTGCCACAGTCTAAGGAAGATATAAAGCCGTTAGAGAGTGTCCGAAGGAGGGCTGCAAAGATGGTGAAGGGCCTTGAGGAGAAGCCATACGAGGAGTGACTGAGGTCACTTGGTCTATTCAGCCCGGAGAAGGGAGAGAGGGGAAACCTCATCGCACTCTGCAGCTTCCTCGTGAGGGGAATTGGAGGGACAGGCACTGATTTCTTCACTGAGAGAGATCAGTCACTGGTGGTGACCAGTGACAGGACCCAAGGGAATGGCCCAAAGCTGTATCAGGGCAGGTTAAGGTTGGATATTAGAAAAAGGTGCTTCTCCCAGAGGGTGATTGGGCACTGGAACCAGCTTCCCAGGGAAGTGGTCCTGGCTGTAATTCTGCTACTGTCCAAGAAGCATTTGGATAATGCTCTCAGGCATATGGTGTCATTCTTGGAGTTGTCCTCTGTTGATGTTCCGTGTGGGTCCCTTCCAACTTAGGATATTCTGTGATTTTTGGACCTAAACCAAGGTTGTGTATGAAAGGATGGTGTCTTTAGGAGCCTTATTGTCTGATTTGCAGTGGGGAAAAAACAAAAGTTATTTGTAAATAATGGGAATAATGTGAAGGATAGAATATTTAGACTTGAAAGACAGAAATAGGACAATCAGAGAGAACGGTTCAGAGAAGTAGAGAAGATGCAAGTAAAATTAGGAACTAAGAACCTCAAGCCAAAACACAAGTGCTTTTATTAATTGTCTTGTAAAAATGAAATAGCATTTTTGTCTGTTTTGCCAAGGACTTTAAGCTTATATAATCATTTGAGCTTCTTTCTCCCTCAGTGGCAATTGACCTCTGATGACCAGTTCAACAAGACTTTCAAAGACCATTAAGTTGATACATGTTTTGTGACTATAAGCAGGCTAAGGAATGAATACCAAACTTTTTCCAGCTGTGGCTGCTGTTCTTTCCATTTGTTTGCAGCTGAACAGACGTTGAGATTTGTGTATTGGTTGGCCTGTTGGGAAGCACGTAGTCAGAAATTCATTAGCGCACAGATTGCTCTACAGTAATATAGCACTTGCCAGCTCTTGCCTTAGAGTGTTTTAACAGAACACTTCGGAGGAACACAGGTTTCTGTGTGGATACTAAAAGGAAAATAGTAGAGAAATTCTTGGGGAAACCATGGTTTCTTGGATTTTTTTGCTCACTGAACTGACTTTACCATGAATTCAGAAGTCTCTTCTGCATCAGAAGTGCTTAATCCTATTTTCTTCATATTTATTTATTTGTTTATGTTTATCTCTGGGTGTACTTTTTGTTGCAGTGGTGTGATGAAAGATTCGACTTCCAAGGCACATTTTTACAGTGCTTGGCAAAACATGTGCCAAATATTTACTCAGCTGAAATGGACCCCTTGCTGGAGAAACAAGAAGAAATGGTCCAGGCAGCAATATTATATCCCCTGGAGTGTTATTTGTTTGGGGAGGACCCAGATATATTCCTGGAGAAGCTACAACAGAGTGGAACCTCCCAGCTCTGTGGAAAGGTGTTCAAAGGAGGGGAGACAACATACTCTTGCAGGTAAGAATGAAGGTGTGTTATCATAAATGTTCCTATGTGAGTTAATGCAGCAAAGTCATTTAACTGCATATGAAAAGAGGGCTCTGGCAGAAAAATGGGGAAGGAAATGGAAAGGATACTAAAAATACTGAAAGCCATTCGTTAAAGATATTGGATGGTAGGGTATGAGTATGGGATCTGTACCTGAACTGAGGGAGAAGAGGCATAAAAATCTGTGTACGGTACTGTAGTCACTCTTTCAAAGTCTAAAACAGAATCCATCATTTTTGAGTGTCAGCAGTCCTTTGCCTAAGCAAAAGCTGTGTGACAATGGTAATTTTTTCACCTTTTTTCTCATCCTGGAGTATATTAAAGGTAGTAGCTCGCTGGTTTGATAGAATTTACTTTATTAATTCATATTAATACAATTATATAAACAATGAGTATAATTAAAAATTGATATTAAAACGCCAACAGTCTTTGTGGTGTCTGTAAATATTACAACTGTGCTGGCAATTCATGAGCATTAGTTTGATGCTGTTGTCATAGTTTATTCTATTTTTTCAGTTCATTTTAAAAGCCTAGAAAATTTAATCAGGAATACTGAAAGAATATTATTAAGGATGAAAAATATTATTGTGGCTAAAAAGTCCAGCCCTTAGAATTTAGGAAATGTCAGAATGAAAGCTTTCTGTAAACATTATGTTTATGAATTATACTGTAAAGTTTTAATCAGTCACATAGTCTGCAGCATTTTCTAAGAATAAGTTAGTGCTGTGTATGAAAGGAGAATAGTCTTTGAAGAAGTCCTTTTGTGTGTACTAGGAAGCATGTAGTGAGTGTGACAGTTGTATGAAGGAAAAGGATGGACAAGGCAGTTTAATGCCGCTGTAACAGAAATAATTCTGTTCCTCCCTCTTGTGTGATAGCAGGCAAAAAGCCAAAGCTATGTATCTCAGAAGAGGTCTGTTTTTCTTAATTTTTTGAGTTTCTGTCTTGCAAAAATGTGGTAGCATTTATACAAGATACTGTACATTTGTACTACTGCAACTGAAGCTGGATGTACATTTGCTTTAGACTTTTAATATGCTAAAAATAATAGATACTCTAAAGTATTAAAGTCTAAACATCATGAATTGGGCATTCCAATCTGGCAGGCACTTCTAACTTCATTTTTCTTTCCTTTAACATACCTTTCAGTAGATTTATGGTAATAAATGAATGTTACTGAAGTATTAAATTATTGTAATGATTATTAGAATCTGAAGGTTTGAAAGGAAGTTATTTCTGAAATCAGAATTACCATGCTATTTTAATTGTATTGTAAAAGAGGCTTGAACTAGATGTTGAACAATGGTATAAAGTAAAAAAACTTGATATGTTGTCATTTAGCACCTGTCATCCACATTTTGCATAGAACGAAACAGCACTTAAAGAAAAAAGCAACCATATTTTAAGTAAAAATACGATATAAAAAAAAGTATGTATGTGGAACAGAAAAAAATGGAATTAGATTGCCCATGAGTGTACTTCCAGATTTTCTGGTATTTAAGTGCATGACCGAAACTGTTGAGATTAAATTTCAAAGTATATATTCCTGGCTCATTTAATAAAGAATTCTCTTTAAATTTTAATTTCTAACTGTTCTAAAAGTTAGAAACATAACCTAGCAGAAGTTTAATTGGCAAACTCACTACAGATGTTGGCAGCAATAATAAAGGTTAACTCAGAGTCCTCATAGGTTTTAATAGCTACTCATTTTTAGCAAAACCAGAAAAAGTTAGCAGCAAGTTACAAAAGTGGAAAATGAGCAAGATTTTGACGGAACTTGATATAACAGGTTTGAATACATAGTTAAACCTAACAAGACTATCATCTTTCTGTGATATGGAGTAGCCAATGTTTTTATAATTTGAAGTATTGTTAATCTCATTTTTTTTTTTCAGAGCAGCATTTTCTTTTGCGCATGAAAATTCCATGTGTTTGTTTTAGAAGGTTTTCCAGTTACAGTTATCATTTTTGTTGCAGGGACTGTGCAGTTGATCCAACTTGTGTGCTCTGTATTGACTGCTTCCAGAATAGCATTCACAAGAATCACCGGTACAAGGTAGGAAAATATTATTTTAAGAAATGATAGTTGTAGCTTTAGAGAAGTTTTTTTGAGGATATAATAAACTGTATATAAACCATTAGTAATTTTATTGTTAAAAAAAAGAAATTCTGGGATTTATGAATTACTTAATCTCTCTCGTCTTTTTAACTATGTAAAGCCTCTTTTAAGAACAGCAACTTTCTAATTGAAGAACCAGAGGATAAAAGAGTGTTTATGAATGCATACATTGTTATTCTCTTTGGCAGTATCACACAAGTGTAAGTCAGAGCAAAAAACTGTGAATGAAAATGGCAGTCATGTCCCAAGTCCCAGTTAGTGTTGTTGGCAAATTTAGAATGAATGTGCAAATACAAGGGACATTACTTCAGCACTTAGGATGCAGGCTCTACATATCCACTTTGTTCCTCCATTTAGATTTGCATAAACTACTTAGTGCTTTAGTGTGGACTATGATGAAGTGACACCAAATGTTAAGCATTGATTTTTTTTTTTTTTTTAATTGAGGAGATTGTTCTAGAACTGGATCATCCTATTTATTCTCTTTGAACCAAATCTATGTTGTCTTTGAGAGATTCCCATGCTTTAATTAAAGAAGGGTTCTTTAAAATAATTCTTAGATAACTTACTGCCTAAATTGTCATCATCTGATTCCTTCCCAGGCCTCCTTTTTTGCTTGCCCTTTTTACTGATAACTAATTTCAACAGCCTTGGAAGCAGAAATGGAAAACAATATAATGTGTCGTTTTTACAGCTGGACTAAGTCTGCTGCAAGAGACAAGAAAATGTACAGAAACACTATGTATTCAATTTACTTATCTTTCATGAACAAAAAGGGGAATAAATTTTTTTCATTTTGGATTTTCTATACGTTGACATGATATCCGTTGAAGAGATTTGGCTTCCTTCTATTATCCGTTGTTCATAAATCCCCTTTAAGTGGGTATGTTTCAATGAGACACAGTTTGGAAGAGGGTCCTAGCAATCTCAAAAATGACTGGTGTTAAAGTACGATATTCTGCCCCTCTGTGTAAGTCTTTGTGTACTGATCAGAACATGTATTGCAGATACTGACTCCAAGACGTACAAAAGTATTTGCATAATGTAGATATAACTTCTCTATACTTATGCATGCACATGCGCAGTTTACAGAGAGGTAGGATGAAAACCCAGGGAAAATAGACAGGAATGATTACAGAGCAGTTTGGAACCACAGCTGGCCTGAGAAGCTGGTGTTATTTCCCTGTTTTTCAGTAACTGCTTCAGGCAAGAGATCAGCTATGGAAATACGTAGTCAGATGAGAGCAAATTTGCTGCATTTTCATTGTAAATATGCAATCTAAAGAATACAGGTTATGCTCTTTAGAGATTCATAGAATAATTTATGTTGGAAGGAACCTAAGAAGGTCACCTAGTCCACCCTCCTGCTTGAAGTGTGTCTAATTAGATCAGGTTATTTTAAAATGTTTCAAGTAAATAACGGATTTTTGAATGTCTTTTTATTGGGTCACTGAGGGTTTTTTATAATTGTTTCAGGATTGGGGATTTGGAGTAAGCCAAAGATAATTGTTTTTTGCTTGAGTTTTGTCTGAACTTTTTCCAAAACAAAGGGTCACAACTTGTACTTTTCTGGAAGTGTAATCCAAAGTTAAAGTTACAAGAATGTGTTTAGATGTGATCATGTTGTCTTTTCTTTTGGTTAGAAGTGAAGGTACTACTAAATGTCTGTTTAATATGTGCTTATTCTTCTTTATATTATTTTCTAACTTTATGAAGTAATTTGTAAAAAAGGCATTAAGCAACTTTGCTATAATTTTGGGAATAAACTCAGAAATTATTATTTTGCCATTTATGAAGCATTTATCAGTCATAGGCTTTTTGACCTACTTTCTCGTTAAATTTATTTAGGACTTGCATACCTTTTTGTAGCAGCAACTATATTTCCTCCTTTATTTTCTGCTCAAAGTTTACATTTTACCCCGCTGCTCCTCTGATAAGTCTCCTTTTATCTAGAAAAAGAAAAATGTTGTGGTGAGTCTGTTGGTTATGCAGCGTCTCTTCTGTTTTTTAAGTAGGTATTTATACTTGTGTTTGACTTAAATAATGTGCATTTCTATTTTTTTCTTGCATTTTATGTGCATATTTCATGACTGAAATACATGGTTTTTACAGATGCATAGCTCCACTGGAGGTGGCTTTTGTGACTGTGGGGATACAGAGGCATGGAAGGCTGGACCACTGTGTACTAAGCATGAGCTTGGATCATTGAGTTCTCCAAAAGAAGTAAGAATATTGCTTAAAGTGAAATAATAAATATTGTAAATATTGCCTTTTTTATTTTAAAAGTGCTTATTCCTATATGTGTGTTGTATAAGTTATGTAGCAGGTTCAGTCAAGCTGAATCAGGATTTCTTTGGTCAAGGTGTTTGGGATCAAACATATATATTGACATCCTTTGATTTTTCTTTTTTTTTTTTTTTTTTCCTTTTTGTTCAGAGACAATTTCATCACCCTGTCTTGTGCATTTCAGTCTTTCATTTGGAATTAAAATTGCAGTCACTTGCTCCTTTCTTTGTTATGTTTGTTACTCAGTTCTTACTTGCAAATAATTGGTTTACCATTGGTTAGTAAATGTTTTGATGTAGTACTTGATTTTAATAATATTTTCTCTTTCTTACCTTACCGAACAATTGTTTTTGTCAGTTACTTCTGGTGTGCGATCTGTCACTATGACTAAAATAAGTTTCTATGTGTTGAAACTAACCTCTTATGCTGGGGTGTCTCATGCTTATTGTACCTCATAAAGCAGCATTTTAATGAGAAATGTGCTGTCTTATAAGGAATTCTCAAAGAGAATGTGGGCATATCACTTGCTTCAGGTAAAATTGTGTTTTTTCAGAGTGGTACAGTCTGAGATAATCAGGACAAAAAACCTTAGCATTTTCATTGCAAATAGACCCCTAACTCCTCATGGTTTTGTTGCAAAATTGCTGTTGTTTATGATCTGGCAAAAACGTCAGATAGAAAATGAATAAAGAGCTCTGGATTTACTGAAAAATGAGACAAAGATTTCCTTCACTTGTTCATCCTTCAAAAAACCCATGATAATTAATGGATTTCAAAGATAAAAATAGTTGAAGCTTCATGAAGGGGTCATCTCTTTATCACTTGGAGCTTGTTGCTGCAAAGCTTACCTGCTTCTACCTCAGTAAAGTCTGTTCTGCCATGCAGTAGTACCTGGTGTTCTGAAGGAAAATAGGATTTTTTTCTGAGTGCTAGGTTGCTGGTAGTGTTGATGAAGACATACAGGAAGGTAGAGAACTCACGTCTACCGGCTTCAAATACCACCTTTAGATAACTGTGGAAAATTTATGCTACAAGGTGCTCAGTATCAGATTTCTAGCTGAGTGCGGAGAGGTCCGTATCATATCACAAAGAGAATTTAGCAGTAGTCTTAACACAAAATGTTCATGTCTCAGTTGAGAATTAACTGTTCTTCCACTTGAGAACTAAGTGTTTCCAGACGAAAAATCTCCATTACTCCTAGATAAGTGATACTACTTTTTCCTCAGGTCACCAGTTTGTCTTACAGACAGTAGCTTGCATTCATTATGGATTTCAACTTTTGTGATGGCTCACAAAAAGAAATCACACAGATAGCTGGGTGAACATGGACCTATGAAGCACATCTCAAGAAATATAACAAAGAGATTCTAAACAAAATAGATTGTATCTCCTGCCTTTAAAATTTAGGTCTGCATGAGTTCTTCTAACAGTTGTTTCAGCACTTTACTTTTGAGAATAATATTACTTTTTGGTTCCAACAACTCTGACCAGAGTCCTTTTTACTTCCTGCAGAGGAACATGTTTCTCTGCAAGGTATAGATTTTGATCTCATGGATCTGGTATTGGCATCTATGACAGCATACTCTGCTTTTTACTTCCCTTTCCTTTAGAACAGCTTTTTCATAGTAATGAAATAAAAACCAAATGTTAACACCGAAACCTTTAGCAATTTTACCAAAAAATCTGTTTCACTCGTGTTTAAAATCATGCTGTCCATATTTTGTGGGCTTTTTTTCAAAACCAAGTTTAAACAAAGCTTGAGGGGAAACTGCATGCGTTCAGGACTCCTCAGCATTTTGTTTGTTTGGATGAAAATAAGCTGCTCAGAATACTCTTCAGGGCATTTGTGTACAATGGAGATAAAGGACAGATTGGATCAATAGTGACTGCAGCTAACACAGTATCTCTCTGTTGTCAACTTAATTGAGAACTATAATCATACCTGTGATCATAAGGAAACAGGGAACCTCCCATGCTTCTTCAAGGAATATTTCTCTACCAATCTCTGATAAGGTCTTTGGTTGGCTTGCAGTGAATTTGTTTGATCATCACTTCTGTCATGGAGCTGTGAAAGTCCAAAGCTATTTTACAACTGCTGTCAAATAAACTGGAACGTACTCCTACATTAAGTGCTACCTGAGAGTTGTGAATGATAGAAAACATATAATGAGACAATTATTTGAATTTGAGGAAGTAAAAGGTTGTTTATTAGTTCTTTGTTGTCAATATGTGTAGCTATTATGCAGTCAATATATGCAGACTTTCTAGTAAAAGAGTAGAAATACAACCACTACAGTAATGCAATGCATCACCATATTAATATATACTATGTATAACTATTTGAAAGATTACATTGCATGACCATCTTTCTTTTTTAATAAAAGATCTGTCTGTCATGGATTCTTTATGACAAAGAGTCTTGTGAATATTTGGATTACCTTATGGTTTGTTCTGTGTTTTGAGAATCAAGGAGATTCATAATGTAGGAATTTTCTCAGCATACAATGCTTATTAAAAAAAATGAGTGACAAAGCACATTTGGTGCAGATGTCTTGCATATTTCTTTTCCAGAATGTTTTCTGGTAGTGCAGAAGTGTTTATTCCATGCTTGTCAAACAAAAAGCACTTTTTGCTGGACAATCCTAACCAGTATTCCTTTAATTACTCTTAACTGCAGAGAATATATAATTTTAGAAAGCCCACTCGAGGCTTCTAGGAATTATCCATTTCCTATCGATTTCAAATGAATGTCTTCGTATGCCAGAAACATAAAAAATCTTTTTGCCTAAATGCATCTTTAAAACCAGCAAACTTTAAAGATTTGTGTGTGAGATAAGGAAACAATACTTCCCGGGCACTTTTTTTTAAAAAAAAGATTGTTAATGATTTTAAAACTTTGGTACCTGAACTACTTTGTTCATTCTTCCACAATTTTGGGGTTTTTAAGCTTTACCTTGAAGCTTAAACAATTGCATGTTTTTGGGCATAGTTCTGAGACAATTTTATTTTTACCCTTTCAATTTACATTAGATGTATCTTAATTTCATTTTACTGTGACTTCTGTATTAATATGGATAACATGGGAAGTGGCATTGCATCATTTAACTTTTTGGTACTTGTATGAGTGCAAGCCCCACTTTTAATAATTTATAAATCCTTTGATGTGATTTCCTTTGATTTTTTTCTTCCCCCTTTTTTTTTTTTACAGACTGAAGGAGAGCAGCATGTCTTACTATAGAGTACCTGTGCACAGCTCTGAGTTTTCTCCAGCTCTTGTTGTTTTTTCTTAACATACATTAGCGCTTAAAAAGCCCAACTCTTAAGAAAAAGTGGAAAAAATTAGTATATTTACAACTCAGTTCAATTAGATTATGCTTAGCACTATAGCTTTTTTCATTCTTCTCCAAACATGAGGATTATGATAACTTTATCAGCCTGTGAAAAAAATAATTACCCCAGGCATTTACATTCTTAATTACCAAGATCTACCATGAGCTTATCCAAAATTAAGTATGTACCCATAGCGATATTTATAGGCCATGATTTCATTGACAGACATTTTTAGATTGCATGTCTGACTCCAAATTATTCTTCTGATGCTTATTATCAGGTCAGAAAACTGTTGTCCAGAGCTTTAGAAGTAATTGCTCATGTTAACACATTCTTCTCTTCCATTACACTTCTAGCTTTTCCATCATATCTAGTGCATTATTCAACATGATTTTACTTTTTTTTTTAAAGCCGTCTGCTTCATAAATCGATAAATGTGACTATAGTTGATTTAAGAATTTTTGAAAATATGGTTCTTAGTTGTATTTAATATTTAATATGTGTCAGATTGTGTATTGCAGAAGTGAGTGCCCTTAGTACTTTGGGATTTAAAGTCACGCGTGAAAAGCTTTATTCCTGGAAAGCATATGTGTTTCTCCTCTTTTCTTTCGCTCTGGCACAAACATGCCTATTCAGATTTTTTAGGCATTTTTAATGAACCTAAAATTATAGGAAACTTCATGCAAATACTGTAGAAGACATCAGCTTCTGTTTCTCAGTCATGACTGTATATGAAATTACTGGATTTGGTTGCATTACCACTAATAAGTACATTACATACCGTTTCCGTATGTGTATACTGAAAGGAAGGTGTGGCATGGGTCATCCAGGCTCTTGGATTACAGCTCTCCTGTCATACGTTGTCATTGCAACGTATCTGTTCTTGTACCTTGATAGAGATTGCTTCATTCTTAGGTACAGATTTGGTAATGATTTTTTTTGCTCATAACCTTAATTTCTCTCCTGCTTAAATGCTTATAGAAATGATTAATAATGTTATGTGATGTAGACAATTCACTTGATGAGCTTTGTCAGGGTGGATGGGAAATACGTCAGTTCTCAGGGATATTTTGAATGATATCTAGGTACGGTGTAGGAGGCGTGTCTGAAATACAGGGGGATGTACTGGGGCAGTGATGCCCAAAAGAGCATGCGCCGAGATTATCAACCCTATTGGATAAGAAAGTCACGTGGTATTAAGGGATAAAAGGGGGCGCGAGATTCAAATAAATCTCTTTGACTCCACCACCTCCGAAGAGCGTAATGCATTTCTTTATTATATAAAGGCCAGCGGCCATGTGCCGCTACACATGGTGCCCAGCGTGGGGCCCAGAACCTATAATAGGCAGATTAAACACCCTGTATCAGGTGAATAAATCGGTAAACTCCGGGTATCACCGCAGTTTTATGCAGGTGGGAGTTTTTTAACTGAAAAAAACTTGGACGTCTGTAAAACCGTTGTCTCAGTTGCGTATGAGAAACAGAAAGTTAGTTTAGTGAGCTCAAAAAATTATAGGAAAGTGCACAGGAAAAAAGAAGAAAGAAGAAAAGAAGAAGGAGAAACAGAACGGCGGGCAGCGGAGACCGGAGCCGGGGACCAGCAGGCG